GGTGGGTGGCTGGAAGGGCTTTGAGGCAGAGGGAAAGAGGTCTGTGCCAGGAGATGGCAAGTCTTGTAATCTCCATGAGCTTCAGTGTCCCCATCAGAAAGAGGAAGGGGTGCCTGTTGTCAGCCACCCACAGTGTTCTCTATGTGAAAGTGGCTTGGAAGACTGGCTACCATTTGGGTGTGAGGAATCATTAGCAGTGAGGGCAGGTTTGGGGAGCCTGAGAGGAGCTGTGCACCCAGAAGAGATTTTTGTTTTGAGAACCCAGAGGCCCTTATTGTCTGTGCCCTTCCTCAGCTGAACCCCCAAACTCGAAGCACCCAGCAGGGCACTCTGACCTGGAGAAAAACCTGAAAACTGAAACCAAGTACCTGAGAGACGAGCTGCGGGAACAGCAGAGACTGCAGGAGGCGAAAATGAGGCTCCGGGAGCAGGAGGTGAGGCTGAGAGAACAGGAGGAGAGGCTTCTTGAGCAGGAGGGGCTCCAGGAGCAGGAGGAGGAGCTGGTGTGTTGCCCACCTGGGGAAACTGCTCTCCTCCCCAGCCCTCCAGGCCTTTGTTTTCCCACCTGTAAAATGGGGGAGTGTATGAAATCGGGCTTCTAAAGGCACCTGTGAGCACAGCCCTGCTCTGATGGCTGTGGGAGAAAGGAGACAATTTTTCTAACCTACCTCTACGCTTCCCGGTGCCATGGGAGGCAGTCACGTAGTTCTGGGGTCTCCAGCTACAGTGGGTGGCCACTGATTGCTTCTCTCTGTCCAGAAGAACCAGAACAGGAGTGCACTGCATTTGGAGCAGGAAGGAAAGGAGCTGCAGGAGAAGCTTGGCGAACAGGAGACGGTAACCCCTGCCCCATCCAGGAGGGCTGGGAGGCAGGCACTGGCCTCTGGGGAGGGGAGGTGCAAGGCCACAGGCAGCTCCACCCTGGGGGCAGGTGACCCCACACCCTCCAGGGCAGTCCTGTGACCGTTTCTTGCTTCCTGTCCTCTGACTTTTAGAGGCGGGTAACCCTGGTGTCCTTCCAGGTCTAGACAGCATCATCCCAGGTCGAGGCATGGAGCCCCCCAGTCACAGGGCAAGAGACAGTGGTGTGAGGGGCTCTTTACGCTGGGTGCGGTGGCTCACACCTGTGATCCCAGCACTTTGGGAGGCTGAGGCAGGAGAATCCCTTAAGGTCAGGAGTTTGAGATCAGCCTGGCCCACATGGCGAAACCTCACCTCTACTAAAATTACAACAACCACCACAACAAAGCTGGGCGTGGTGGCACACCAGTAATCCCAGCTACTCAGGGGGCTGAGGCATGAGCATCGCTTGAGCCCGGGAGCTGGAGGTTGCGGTGAGCTGAGTTTGCACCACGACTCTCCAGCCTGGGCCACAGAGTGACACTCTGTCTCAAAACAAAAGAAACCAAATCAAAGCAAAACAAAACGAAAGTCTCCTTAGATCCAAACTGGATTCCGGCCTTGATTCCACTGGTCACCATTCAACTACTTGCATCTCTCAGTCTCTGTTTCTTTAACTTCCAAAGGACGTTAGCGTTTTCCTTGCGTGGGTGCTGAGGATTAAATGAGATGATGCGTGGAAAGCATTAGGCATGTAGCACACTTGGCAGATGGTGGTCGGCTCCCTGTGCTTTTCCACCAGTCTGTGGCCTACAGTTTAAATGGTGGAAGGAAGGACGTGAGATTTGAGGCTGGGGAAGAGGCATGGGGTTCTAGGCAAGGGAGGCAGTCTCTTAGGCTGGAGCCAGGGGCCAGGCGCCTGGGCAGGCCACCTTCCTCTGTGGTCCCTCCGAGACCCCCTTACGCTCTTGGTTTCCCCACCTTCTGATTCCTCTGGACCCTCACCCCTTCCAGGAGCCGGTGGTCAGACACCATCGTGACTGACAGGTGCACTCTCCGAGGCCCCAAGGGAAGGGGCTGCGCTCCACGTCCCTGCCCCGTCTGTCCTGTGTATGCCCCTGCAAGAATGCTCCCCTCTTGCCTTCAGGTGCCATTTCTGAACGCTGCTGGAGCCGGTGCCCAGGAGGAGCAGGCACGGCTCTGTGAGCAGCTCCAGAAACAACAGGTGTGCAGCCAGCACCAGGCTCACCCGGTGGCCTCGGCCCTGAGGGAGCCAGAGGCAGTGGCCGCAGCCACAGGGACTAGGAGCGACCGTGGGTGTGGGGAGACCCAGCGGGCCCTGCAGGGCGCCATCGACAAGCTGCAGGTGAGTGAGTCCTGGCAGGGGCCATGAAGGGTGGGGTGGGGTAGGTCGCTGCCGAGATGTGACCCCATTATTTCGGCTCCAGAATGACTTCATGGCCCTCTTGAAGGAAAATGTGGACCTGAAGGAGCGGGTGGAAAAACTAGAACTCGGACTCATCCAGCTCTCTGGAGAGAGAGACATGATAAGTGAGCAGGAGGCCAGGGCAGGGCAGGGGAGCTGCAGGGTGGTGGGAGTGGTCCCAGTGTCTGAGCCTGTCCTCCCGCAGGAAAGTCCAGCAAACCAAATGACCATCAGACAGCAGTGGCCAAGACCCAGCACCAGAAGAAAAACGATGTTAGCATGATGTCCGAGGCCGAGGAGGGGATCAAGGTAAGGTGTACAACATCTCTGTGGGGGTGAGGGGGATGGAGGTGTGTGTGAGCATGGGTGCCGGCACCAGCGTGGCAGCTGAGCACCCCTATCTCCAGGTGAAGCTGCTGGAGCTGCAGGGCCCAGTGATGCAGCTTATGATCAACCACGAGGTCCAGCACCCTGCTAATGATTCCACTCCAGGGGCCCCAGCCCCCCAGGAGCTTGGTGCTGCTGACAAGGATGGTGAGTAGAGCCCTCAGGCAGGGTGGGCAGGCAGGAGCAGGGGAGGCTGGCACTGTACTCAGATCCCCACCTCCCTCTCTCCAAAGAATTTTATGAGATGAGCCCAGACGATGACAGCGACAGCCTGGAGCGTGCAGGAGGGAGGGTACACCACACCCCACTGCACCGCAGATGGCTCACGGCTGTGTGAGCTGTGGGACGGCCAGCAACACCGACCCTTGGGCAGCAGTCCCTCTATGCCATGCTTTTACTGGGCTGCTGCAAAGGAGGAGGTAAACATCACCATCAGCTAAGAGCTGGCCAAGAAATTTACAAAGGAACAAAGTTATAGGATTAGTCTTCTACATGTTACTTTATTTGAATGTTAGAGCCACTCATGATGATTTGTGCTTCTAATTTATAGTTTATTTGTTAAAAGTTAAAGGAGAGTGGGTCTTCGTGTGGCTTTCACTGATGTCCACTCTGGCATCCTTCAGCGTCTTTCGTTTTTAATTTGATAATCGTAGGTCATTAGCATGCCTATCGAGTTAGCCCTTACGTGGTGGGAGTTCAAACACACAAAGACCCACTATCGGCGCAAAACCATTCTCGCTAGTTTGGAATAGGCTGCCAAGGTTTTTAACGTTATTGCAGCATGTATATTCACTATGGAATTCAGATACAATTTGCTCATGTTCTGCTATGGTATTTGATCGAATCCTAATTACAGTGAGGTCTTAATTAGCTCAATATGTGCTTTGCCCTCACGTGCACACTGTTTATTACTTTGTAAGGTGCCACTATGTGTACTGACATTTAGAGTTGTTGAAAAGCCAAGAACTGGAAACAGCCTTTCTTCCATTTTCTGTGCGTTGCAAATGGGAGTAATAACGTTTTTGGGAGCTTTTAACATCTCACAGAAGAGGAAAGTGGCCTGCTCTGGCAGGTATGTGCAGAATGGAGTATTTCATTCGTTCCCATGCCAAGAACGAGCGCTGTGCTGTGGCAGTTCTTTTAGGGTTTTTCTGTGCCCTGGGCTCATGAAGATAATGCATCATGAGCTGCGGCAGCTGTACCTAAAAAGGGATGATTTCTGAGGATTAAAAGGCTCCCATCTTTGACTGTGGATGTGGAAAACCTTTCCTAGCTTAGAGCATTTATATCTATAATACATGGTAAAGTCACAGTTCATGTTACATATTTTAATCACATGACTCCAGGTCTCAGTACATAAAAGAGCACTGCTTAGCATTCTTCTTAATGTATTTAGTAAAGATCATAAGAAATCCTTTAATATATGAATGGAACTTTGTATCATAGAGTGGATAGGCACTAAATATTGATGACTGAACAGTTAATATTTTAGGACACTTGGTATAGTGCCTTGCACACAGAAAGAGACCACGGATGACATTATCCGTTTGTATCATTTCACAATTTTACAAATTGGTATTTATTACAGTTCACATAGCAAGTTGCTGATAAAATGTCCATTTTTATAAAATATCTCCAAAAAAAAAAGAGAGGGAGAAATCCTTTAAGAGTTTAAATGTCCAGAAAAAAGCAGAAAATTAAAAAAAAAAAATTTTTAAGTTTAAATGTCCCTAGAACAGGCATACAGGTTCTAGTCAAGAATGGACTAGAGTGCAGGAAAGCCGTGTGACACCTGGCATCCCTCTGTGTTCATGGAGCTTCTTTGAGGCTACAAGACTGATTTGACCATCCAGACTTCTCTGGCTAATACCTATTCTTCAACCACCTTGGTTACTCTGGCATAGGAATTGCCTTCGTTTTCTTCAATAAAAAGGACTTTAAACAACAATCACAAACAAAAAATAATAATCACAGACATTATTATAAACTAATACATGTGAGAGTACTTGGCTGAAACAAAAAGGAGTCTCAGTAGGGAGAATTGTACTATATTTGAAAATCAAGTTTATGCAACTTAAAATGTTTATAGACTGCATGCCATCTACTGTTTGCGAATGTCAACGTATTATCAGGAAAAGTGTCTGTACAATCACAGAGCTCTATTTCCTCACCAAGTTCTTTACCAAGAGTGAAATATGTTTTTATACCTTTCGGTTTCAGTTAGAGGCATATTTTGTGCAAGATTTCTGTTAATGTGCCTCTACATTATGAATGAATTATTTCAGTCAGGCATTGCCTAATCATAACTTTATGATGCTTGGGAAAGAATCAACAGTTGACGCTTCATGAATTTCTAATATCTGTGTGCCAAAATACATCCCATTTTTAGGATGGAGGGACATATGTATGTGTGCTCCCTGAAGTGGAGATTCCTAGTTACTGACCATGTCCATGTTTAGCATTTGGCATCCTCATGATACTTTCATAAATATGACATTAATAGGAGATCATTAATACGATTTTACAGATGGAATAATACATTTGTCTGCATTCCCTGAAAGAGTATAAATATTGGGTCCTGGTGACTTGAACTGACTCTTCCAAATTGTAGATATTTATCAATGTATCAGATAAACTCAGTTTCAGAATGATCAAGGGAAAATGTTAGGCCAAATAATGTGGCAGATTAACAGTGGTACAATTTCTAGCCCGGGGGTTTAAAATGGACTTAAAGTTCTGTTCTTGTGTTTCATTTTCTGAACTTGCCACTTTTGCATTCTTTGAGTTCTGTTTAAAGACAGTTACTCTAAGTCCATTTTCAGCCCCAATTTCAGGCTAGAAATTGTACCACTGTTAATCTGCCACATTATTTGGCCTAACATTTTTCCTTGATCATTCTGAAACTGAGTTTATCTGATACATTGATAAATTTCTACAATTTGGAAGAGCCAGTTCAAGTCACCAGGACCCAATATTTATACTCTTTCAGGGAATGCAGGCAAATGTTTTTCTTAATCATTCTGAAACTGGGTTTATCTAATACATTGATAAATTATTTCAAAGGAATTTTTATAGTTCAAATCACTTCACTTTTACCCTCAGAAATAGAAATGACTAGGAATGACCTTGACATAGTGTTTAGATCTGTACCCAATCTGACAATAATGCGTTCATCAAGTACCTATGGAGTAAATCACATACAGGCATATTTAGCTGAATGTCATTCTGTTAAATGCATTTACTATATTAACCAAAATATTACTCTGTGTAGGTATTTTGTCATCTATTTAAGAAAAATGTAAAAAGAATGGAAATCATATGACAGTAACTTAAGTCTTTCTTCAAAGTGCATGTGAGTCTTTTGCAGTACTTCATTCAGCCAAGTATTTGTTCTCTTCCTCATTCAGTAGAAGGCAGCTTTCAATTTGCTTAGAAGGCAACATCAGAAGGTTAGCATTCATCAAAAACATAGAATTTTATTTTATTTTCATATTTGTGTATGTTTATTTTAGATAACTGAAACTCCACCGAATTTAACAGCAAATAAAGTTTAAAAAATTTTAGTTACTACTTTAGCTCCAACTATGTCTATTTTACAATCTATAAGGCTCATGCCATAGTTCAGCACCAACAAGATCCACACAAAACTGTTTAAGCATCTTCTTATCCATCCTGTGTGACAGTTTTTGTTTGTTGTTGTTGTTTTTAAGATAAAAGTCCTACTTTCAGACCTTGAAGTGGAATCCCTCTAGTCAGAGTACAAAACTTGGGTTGTACCTTTTTATTTTCATTGAACAGATACTAGAAAAAAAAAAAAAAAAAAAAAAGGAAAAGAACTGTGTTCCACCATTGATTTAGGTTGTCAGTCTATATGTTGAAGTTATAACACTGAAGCGTCAGAAGTAACCTAATAATGCCCTGTCCCTATTCTTCCCCTTCATTTTAAATTTTTAAAAAGGCAAAATGATTCATTTATTCTTTAAAATGATTCATTTATTCTTTAAAATAAGGTGTGAAGAAGGACTACAACAACAAACGTCCTCATCCACACCTCCAATAACAGCTCACTATTTAGCATAATCTACCATGAGCTGATTCAGGGGCTCACCTAGAGCTCTATTCACAGCTCCTGAATGGACCGTGTTTGCTGTACCAGGGGCCTGCTCAATGGCAGCGTCTCTCTGTTCAGAGGTCATTACAAAAATACATAGAATTTTCAAATGTGGGTTCAACTGAATAAATTTGAATTTCTGTAGGAAGAATCAAAATTCCTATTTAAAGAGTGCAATATATGATAATCATTTTTAAAGGATTTTATTAAACCTGATAGGTTTTCCAGAAATGAAAAATCAGTTCTGAAACCAAAGCTGATTTTAAGAAAATTTGAAAATGTAAATCAGTCCTATCCTATCCATAATATAGCTTCTCCAAAACGATATCTTAAAGAGTCATTTTCAAGATAACTATTAAAACATGTAACTGCTATCTTAATGTTTTGAAATTACTTAAAACATTTTAAAATATGAATGTCATAGTTTAAAAGAAACCAAGGGAAGGAAAAGTAGAGAAAGAAATGCCAATTCCAGTCCAAAGCT